AATAATAGTACTGGGGACCACTTGTCAGGTAGGGGATGTCGAGAGGATTCTAGTTCAGCTGAGGGTTGGAGCTGATGCCCCATGAGACCCCTCCAACTCTGAGGCTGCTATTATTATCATTCCCATTTTATAGATGAGGAAACTGAGGAAAACAGAGGTTAAGTGCCTTGCCCAGGGTCACATAGCTAGTAAGGATCTGAGGCCTTCCTGACTCCAGGCCCAGGGCTCTATCTACATCAACACCAGAAGCCCACACTCTAGTTAGCCATCTGTAAGGGAGCAGGAGGGTGGTGAGTTTGGCAAATCACAGATTCTCACTGCCAGGAGAGACCCCCATCTCTTCTTGTCCAGCTTCCACCAGAGCTCAAGCATGCCCCCTGCAGCCTCCCGGGATGGGAATCTCACTACCTCCTGATGCCAGCATCATTTCTGTTCACAAGAGTTAAAGGTAAGCTCTGAGATGCTGCCCTCTCCTACAGCGTAGTTTTCCTTGTGGCCTGAAACCTCAGTTCCCACAGTTGGTCATAGGCTCATCGACAATGTGGGAGAGACCTGGGCTGTGCTAAGCTCCTTGGGTCTCATTCTGTGAAGGGAGAGTTTGTGGGGGGCTGTGACTAATTAAATCCAACGTCACGGCTCCTTCCCCGAGCCCAGTGACTGCCCCTGAGCTTGTGTGGGCCTTCTGTGTGTGGGCAGACAATGAAAGGAGACCCAGAAAGAGATAGTCCCAGAGAGGATGGGGGAAGGGAAAGGCAGGAATACACAGGGATGTGGGGTGGGGGGTGGGGAGAACGCACTATATCCTCTAGTCTGGAATCCTGCCTTTCACTCCAGTATCTCCTGTCACCCCAGGGTCCGTGCCTCTGGAATCAGGCCCTTGTTTATAGATAATCCCTTGGGATGGGGACTGGGGGCAAAGGGAGGTCTTGAATCCTTTGACCAGGTAGGGAAACTGAGGCTTTCCTCAATGTGACCCCAAATTCTTGTTAACTCTTTCTCCACAGGTCCTCCTTCTATCACTGACCGATGCCCACCCCTGGGGTCTTGTTCACACCATACCTGACGCCAGCAATGCCTTCACCCCCTGATCTGATACTGCAATATGGCCTGTCCTTCAAGGCCCAGTTTGGAGGTTCTGGGATGGCCCATCCCAGCGCTGGCAGGGATGAGGATTCCGCCCCCCCCCCCCACATTTCTCATAACACCCAGTTTACATTGCAGGGGGCCACCCATCAAAAAGTGTTTATATATTCAGTACCTACTATATGCCAAGTGCCATGTTAAGCCCTGAAAACACAAAGGAAAAAGGAAAATGATGTATGATATGATGTGAAACACGCCTCAGAGAGGGATAAACATTGGTGCTCTGGGCGGTCTATTCTGCCTAACATCATCAGATACTAGGATAATAGGATCACAGATGGAACGGAAAGGAAACCATTCCAAAGTGGAATGGAAAGGACTGAAAGGTAGTGAGCTCCTCATCACATCCCGAGGAGTCTTCTAGGTTCTAGCTTTAGCTGTGCGAATGAACAAGTCACGTGATGTCTCTGACCATCAGTATTCTCGTCAATGCCAATGTTGGACATCAAAGAAGGAAGGAAATGGCTCTGGAGTCTGCAGCTTCTACTCTTGCCCTGGCTCAGGTGTGGGCGTCTTGCCCCCCAAGCATCCTGGGAGCTCCCAGGGTCTGGCCAGGGGGTCTCACGCTTTGTCTTGGCCTCTGCCCCAGCCCAGGACCAGCCAGACAGCAAGCACAGACTATAGACACCAAAGCATCCCCTTGGAACACCCTGGTGAGGCAAGCACAGCAATTCGCCCTCTCCCTATTCTACTGATGAGGAAACTAAGGCTCAGGGAGGGGGATGGCCTTACCCAGAGATGCACAATTCAGCTGACCAGCCCTGTACTTCCCACGGCCTTCATGGAGTCCTCCTGACTCTCTGTCTGAGCTTCCAGGACATCTGAAGCAGGGCACAATCTCCCTCCCACCTGCCTCTTGTCCACTTACTGCTCATGGGGGCTCAGATTCACATGGTTTTTGTTATCAATCCCCATAAATCAGCCCCGACAGGCCCCTGGCACCTCTGTTTTCGCAGTCCTGTTTATATATCCTGGGGAATGAGTGGCTGATGAGAAGAGAGAGGGCCCTGGCATGGGGCGAGGGGACAGCCTTGGCCACTCACGTATTCATTCATTCATTCATTCATTCACTCATTCATTCACTCACTCACTCATTCATTCATTCACTCATTCATTCATTCATTCAACAAGCATTTACTAGTCAATTTCTATTTGCCAGGCCCTCAGCTAGGCCGTAGGGTACAAAGACGAGGCAAGAACAGTCTCTATGCTCAAGGAGCTAATACTGTACTGGTGAGATGTAGGAAAGTTGGCTGAGTTTAACCTGGAGCTTCCGTCTTCCCGGTGCCCCAGCTTCCAAAGGAAGGAATCCCTGACAACAGAACATCAGGCACCTGAGGGAAGCTGGAGTCACAGCTGGAAAGTGCCTCTGATGTTAGCTAGTCACCTTGTTTTACAGACAAGGAAACTGAGACCAAAGAGAATTAAATGACTTGCCTAAGGTCACACAAATAGTAGACAGAAGGGCCAGAATTTGAATCCAGGACACCTGACTTCAAATCCCCTCTCCACAGGGTTCTGGTGGTGCGGAGGTTTGGGAGAGGGGCAGTGTGGTACAGTGAGACAATCCCTGGGCAGGTGTCAGGAGCTCCAACCTCCTAGACTGGCTCTCTCATTTTCTAGCTGAATTACAGCACTCAATATTGATCATTATCATTTTAAGGTTTGCAAACAGGGTTAAGTGACTTGCCCAGAGTCATTGAGCTAGGAAGCATCTCAGGTCCTCTGACTCTAGCGCCAGGGCTTCCAATTCAGAGGCCTGGGCCTGAAAGCTTTCTACCTGTGTGACCCTGGCCAGATTCACTTCTCCTCACTTCTTCTGTCCTCGTTGATGAAGAAGGGATCTTCTTATCTTTGCTCTCCTCACCTCTGGTTGCTGGGGGAGGAAAAGCATTTTACTGAACCATAGAGCCCTAGAGGAAGGAAGCTGTGGTGTCTGGCATCTGGCACCTTGCCCGGAATCCCCCTGCTAGAATCTGCCCAGAGCCTGGGTTTGTCGATGCCTAGCCTGAGACTCGTTCCAGGACAAAACAAGAAAACCCATCCTGGCTTTTGGAGTACCCATGTCCCTGAGCTCTGGGCTGTGAGGAACATCCCACAGCTAGCTGGGGCAGCGTTTCTGTCTCACAGGAAGGTCTGTAGAAGGGGGAGCTTTTAGCCAAGGCAACAGCCCCCTGACATCTGTCATCACCACCCAGACTACGGTTGGCAGGCCCAGGCCCCAATGACCCCAGCTCTGATTCTTGCCAAGATGATAACAGCATTATTTCTGGTCCTGGCTAAAAGCAGCAACCATTTCATTTTGTCCTTTGCCCCGAGGTCTGAATTCCAGGATCCTTCCTTGTGGGGAGGAAGTAGGGATATTTAACTAGACTCCCTCTGGGAGCCAGACAGGGCTTCTAGCGTGACCACCAGTCAAATATGTCACAAGAAATGTATGCCCAGGAATGATGGGAGCATCTGGCATCTCTCAGGGTTGACCCATTCAGCTTCAACAGACTTTCTAGTTAACTATAATCTGCCCACGAAGGGCCTCGACTTTCTTCCTCCCTCCTTTCCTCCCTCCCTCCCTTCCTTCTCTCTCCTTGCTTCCTTCCTTCTTTCTCTCTCCCTTCTTTCTTTCTACCTTCCTTCCCCTTCCCTCCCTTCTTTTTCCCTCCCTTTCTCTCTCTCTTTGTCTCTGTTCTCTCTCCCTCCTTCCCTTCTTCCTTCCTTCCTTCTTCCCTCCTTCCTTTCTTCTCTCCCTTCTTTCTCTCTCCCTTC